ACAGTCTGGGTCCACAGTCTGGGTCCACAGTCTGGGTCCACAGTCTGGGTCCACAGTCTGCGTCCATAGTCTGGGTCCACAGTCTGCGTCCACAGTCTGGGTCCACAGTCTGCATCCACAGTCTGCAACCACAGTCTGGGTCCACAGTCTGGGTCCACAGTCTGCATCCACAGTCTGCGTCCACAGTCTGGGTCCACAGTCTGGGTCCACAGTCTGCGTCCACAGTCTGGGTCCACAGTCTGCGTCCACAGTCTGCAACCACAGTCTGGGTCCACAGTCTGGGTCCACAGTCTGCATCCACAGTCTGCGTCCACAGTCTGGGTCCACAGTCTGCGTCCACAGTCTGGGTCCACAGTCTGGGTCCAGCTATTTTTCGTACTGAGAGCATCTCTCAATGCATCATCTTTTATAACTGAGTGTGGGAAGGTTTAAGGTTGGCCCCTGGGTGTAAATTGTTTTTAAGTAGAATCTCCACATATTTGATTTTTATTCATATGACAAAGATCCCCCCTCTCTTTCTCTCTTTCTCCCTCCCTCCCTCCCTCCCTCCCTCCCTCCCTCCCTCCCTCCCTCCCCTCTGTGTGTGTGTGTTTGTGTGTGTGTGTGTATCTCTGTGTGTGTGGATGCCCATGGGTATTAGTATGTGCCAAGTCTCTCTTGTGGAGGTCAGAGGACAACTCAGGGGTCACTTCTCATCTTCCACCTTGTTTGAGACTAGGTTTCTTTTTCACCATTGTGTTGCCAGTCTGGTTGACCATTGAGTTTCTGTGGATTCTCATGTTTCTGTCTCTCATCCCACCAGGCGTGCAGAAATAATGAGATATGCTGTCACGTGTGACTTTACTCAGATTCTGTTGATTTGAGTTCAGTCTTAGACTTGTATAGCAAGTGTTTTACCCCCTGGGCCATCTCCCACATCCTGAATAAATCTCTTTTGTTTTCCTTTTCCTTGTGGTGCTGGAGGTGGATCATCCAGCTTCAAGCCTACCCGCCCCAGTCCCTCTTAATACATGATTTTTTAGTTTGTAACTACATAAATCAAGTTTATATACAGCATTGGGATATTTGAAAAATATCAGTCATATTTTCAACTATAATGTGTTTGGATAAGAAACTTTACAGAATGTCTGGATTTTGGGTCTAAAATCTAAATGACTTCCACAGTGGGTGTGTTATTTTCAGGAGAGAGATTTAAAATGTTTGAAGGTGTCTCATTAACTTTGTTTGTAAGTAGGACAAAATAATATTGTAATTATCTCATAAATGTGACTCTGAAGAAACCTCCAGAAGACTCACAACTGGTCAAAATGCAGAGAATACTCAATGTTATAGTGCTTATTCATAAACAGAACTTCTGTATCACAAAAAAATCACCCCAATTCTCAGAGAACTGACTGAAGAGGGGGAAGAAATATCTCAAGAGCCAGAAACTGGGGAAGAGTACTTTTAAATAGTATACTTTTCATGACATGGTCACTGCACTCCTGAATCTGTAGCAGCTGTGGTTACCCTGTATAGGACCTCTACAAATAAGCCCATCGACCTTACATCATTGACAAGAGGGGCATTCACAAGCCCTAGCTCTAGCAAAGGAATATTAGCAGTTGGTAGCTGCTAGGGGAGAAAGAGTTAGGTTCTGGTGGGGAATGGCCCCTAGCAAATTGCCTGTGCTCCAGTGGATGGCCCCGTACCATGTACAAGCAGGCAGCACTGATCAAACTCGGTGGGTTATTAAAAACAAACAATAACCCCCTGCTCAACCAGAGGCCACCATAACTCCAGGAAGGCTGCTGGCCTGAGGACCTCCCTCATTTTCTTGGTACTCACAGGCTTGATACTATCCTCCAATGTTTCCCTCCCTTTTCATTACCATATCCCATCCCCCAACTCAGGAGGAGACCTCTGCTCCACCAGAGGCCACCCTGACTATCAGAAGTCCAGGTAGACCACCCACCTGTAGACCTCCCTCACTCTCTCGATGCCCCCTTACTATCCCCAATTCTACCTCTCCTCTTCATCATTGTGTCCCAGCTACCAACTTGTGAGGAGAGCTCTTGTTTGACCAGAAGCCAGGTTGGCTGCCTGGCCCATAGATCTCCTCAACTCTCTTCCCCCTCTACCTTATCCCCAGTTCCCCTCTCTTTCTCATTGTTGTGTCCTAGCCCCCAACTGAGGTGGAGATCCCATGCTCAATCACAAACCACATCAGTCAGGACATAAGAAAAGAAACAGAAACCAAGGAACAAACACACATCTAAAAAAGACAAATTCAGAAATTAGCACCTAGACCTATAACCACCCCAAACCCAGATGACTAGATGCCAGTGTTAAGAACACAATCAATAAGAGGCAGGACAATATGTCTCCATCAGAACTCAGCTATCCTACTGCAGAATTCTTTAAATATCCCAATACAGCTGGAACACAAGAAGAAGATCTTAAAACCAACTTTATGAAGATGATAGGTGTCCTTAAAGAAGAAATGAAGAAATCCATTAAAGAAAT